ATGAAGAAGTTGCCTCTGGGTCTCCTGAGGAATTCCAATCTGTAACCTCTTTGAATTATAGCTCTGACCCAGGCATCTTGTATGTCTCGTGCCCAAACCCTCCAGAAGAGGGAGAGTCGAGCACCGACCTCTGACGGATAGTCAGAAGTTCTTGCCTCCCCGAAAGGAAGGGTTTCTACCTCGGGAGGAACGGGAAGCATATGATTGGCCCCCACGCCAATTACTACTCCTGCTAAACTCTCTACCTGGTCGGTAGCTACGGGTATCCCGAAAAAAGTGATCCCTCTGAGGTCGCTTATCTGACCAAGAGGAGCCAGGTTTCCTGGTTCTTTTCTCTTGGGGTAAAAAGACCTTACGCCCTTCAGCTGCTTTTTTAATGGATTCTTCTAGGGTCTTACCGAATAAAAGCTTGCCTTCAAAAGGTATGGAACATAGATTGGACTTGGAAAAGGAATCCGCACCCCAATAACGCAACCATAAAGCTCTCCTAGCTGCTACCGAGAGAGCCATGGTGCGGGAGAAGATCCTGGTGATATCCAGGGCAGCTTGAGCGACAAATTCTGTGGCTATCCGAAGGTCATAGATAGAATCCCTGAGGACTGTCCTCTTGATTCCCCTTTCTAAATCTGAATCAAGGTCTCTTATCCAACTCTTCATTGCTCTGGACACCGCCGTAAGACAAACAGCTGGGTGGCATCCAGTACCTCCCGCTGAATATATCTTGGAAAGATCGGAATCCAATTTCTTATCATTGGCTCCCGCAGGGAGGCTGAACTATCCAATGGTAGACTAGTTCTCCTAGCAACTCTAGAGATGGTCGCATCCACTTTTGGAGGTGTTGTCCATTTCTTTGAAGTTTTCTCCTCCAAAGGGTAAAGCTTGGATAGTCTGCCCTGAAACGGAACCTTTTTATCAGGTTTTTCCCATTCTGCAGTCACCACCTCCTTAATGGCTTTATGAAGAGGGAAGGAAGGCTTCTGCTTCTTAAGATCCGCAAAATGTTTATCCGAAACTTCAGGTTTAGGCAGATCCTCTGGTAGTTCAAGGGTGCTTCTTACCTTTAAGATGAGCTTATCCACTGTCTTGGCGTCTAGATATTCTGACAAGACCTCTTCTTCGTTCTCACTAGAATAAACCTGATCAAGAACCTGAAATTCTTCAACTGAATCCTGGTATTCTGAGCCAGATGAATCTGAGGATATCAGTCTCTGTCTTGATCTTTTTACAGACCGCTTACTTGCCTCCATGGCTTCTGAAATGCCCTGAGCCACTTCCTGTCTGATCCAGGTCAGGATATCTGGTAACTGAGTGGGTGTTACGGCTGCTGGAGTGGTCACTTTCTGCAAACAGTCTAAGCACAGTTTTTTGCCTTCCAACGCCTTCCCATCACATCCTGCACAGGGGTCTGACTTCTGTCTCCTCTTTCGTGGGGGAGATGAGATAGACTGTTCTCCATTACTAAAAGTAATATAAGGAACTGTTAGTAAATGGAGAGTTAATACCCCTTAACCTATTAATATATATACACAATATAAATAAAATATATATGGAATCCTACTCACCTGGATTTTCCTGAACAGGGTAAAGGATTCCTACTAGCAGAGCTCATAATGGGCTAACTACAATAAAGAATTTAAAAATAATTCAAAGTAATTCTCTTAGAATATACAAGTAAACTGTCACAATAAAGGGATAACATTTTATCAGAAATACACAAACCTGTGGCAAAGAATAGAAAGATCCCAGAGTCTTAATATTCTCTTCTAGATAATCCAATGCAAGTTGTCTAATAACTGACTCCACAACAACCTCCTTCGAGTTCCAGGTACTTTTAAATAGTTTCTGCTCATTTACTAACCTGTTTCTGGCGTCTTCTGTCAATTACCTGTAACTTTCGGTTTTGCCCACAGTAAAGATGGCCGCCGCGACCTCGCGACCTTTACCCAGACTGCATTCTGGCGCCAAGCAACCCGAGCGCATTGCGCATGTGCGGGCGTCTCCTCCAAGCTACCAACCAGGGAGAACCGAGGACGAAAGCCAGGGATCCCAGCTGCAAACAGGATGACTCCCAAAGCTCTCAGGCAGCCCAGGATTATACAGGTAACAATAAAACCCGGGTAAAGGAAGAAGAAATAGGAAGGAGATAGTGGGAATCACTTTACACTTGTATGTACTCAATAGTACACTGTAAAGTATATAGAGAAAGAAGTAAAATACTTAAAGAGATAGAGACAAGAAAGAAAAAAAAAAATTATAGAAGGAGCTAAAGAGCTCCCTTCCTAAAGGCTGTAAGGACAGGAAAAAGACTGAGGGTCTCTTCTCTGGATCCTCCTTTTATATAAGAATTTGCTTAATCCTGTCC